TATCTTTCACAATTTGGGATGCTTTTAGCCAAAATTTCTACAAATAGTTTTTCTCACACATGCCTTTCTGGTTCTGAAATTCTATGAATGTTAAGTTTTCTTTTGATATTATTCTGAAGATCCCTCTAAACTGTATTTTTTAAAAATTTTTTATTTACATATCCTTTAATTCAAAATTTATTGATGTATTTTCAATTTCTTATTTTTTTCTTTGTATTCAACCTTTAATTAAGCCATTTAATTTTTTTATAAATACAGGTTGTATATCCTTGAAACAAAAAGCTTAAAAAATGCTTCAGATTTTGGAATATTTGCATATGCATAATGAGATATCTTGGAGATAGGACTCAAGTCTAAATGCAAAATTGTTTCTGTTTCATACATACCTTATCCACACAGCCTGAAGGTAATCCTATTCATATTTGAAATAATTTTGAGCATCAAACTAGGTTTATGGTGTACAGTTTTCCATGTATGACATCAAATGAATGCTCAAAGAGTTTCCAGTTTGGGAGCACTTCAAATTTTGGATTTTCCCATTAGGGATTGTATTGTATTGTACTGTATTGTATTTTTCAATTCTACCATTTCCATTTAGCTCAATTTTATACTTTCATTTCACTGCTGAAATTTCCTATCTTTTCATTCATTATTCTGAACATGTTTTATAAGCATGAGCTTAATTATGATTCCTGCCTTAAAATCTGTCTAATAACCTTAACATCTGGATCATTTGAAGTTGTTCTCCTTTGATTGTCCTTTTCCTAATTTTGGTTAACATTCTCATATTCTCCATATTTCTGGCAATTTTGAGTTTCGTAGCAAACGTTATAAAGGTTTTTGTTTTGTTTTGTTTGTGGGGGTATAGGATTCTTCCTACACAAAGTAATTCCTACCTGCTGGCTCAGGGGTGGAAGCAACTGGGGCAGACAAGGGCCCTTCCTTGGCTCAGGGGCCTGTCCAGCAGTAGCTGGGCTCCCAGGTTCCACTGTTTCTCCACAGCAATCTGCTCCCACTGTGGTAGCCAGAGAAGCTTCCCAGAACACAAAACTGGTCAATTCCTTCCCCTCTCTGGCTTTTCCTGCTTTGCTCCTTCTGACTCCTCTTTTCTTACCATAAAAAAACAGACTCTGCCTGCTGGATCATACAAAATCAGGTGCATTGCCCTGCTTTCCTGGTGTCCCCTAACACGCTCATTTCCCCTACACATACATGCTCTTCAGGTCTCCAGACATCTTCAGCCATCTTCAGAAGTGTGACACTTTCTTGCTACAGGAACTTTACGTGGCTGTTTCCTCTGTCTGGAATGCTTTCCTAACTCCATTCTCTCTAGGCCACCTCTAATCCTTTAACCTCAGCTCAGCTGTCGTCCCCTCAGGGATGTCCTTTCTGACCTGTGACAAGGCCTTTCCCTTGTCTGTGTGCTTTCACTGAGCCTCAGTGCTCTCCCTTACAGCTGCTGTTGAAGGATCACACTAATTTGAGCATGCTTCAGCATCTGTCTACCAAACTAGGCTGTCTGCTCCATGAGGTCACAGACAGTTGCTCTCAGTTCACTTAATAGTCTCAGGGCCACTTTGCATCATGAAATATGCAGATTAAATATGCAAAATAAGATCTTCGTAAACGCTCGCTAAGAGCCTGGGCAGTTAGGACGCAACCTCGGCAAACATTTCTCCACTTCTCAGTTCTGCAGCTCACATCCCCTTAGGAATGTGCCTTAGTCCTTTGAGAGTGGCAACACCATATATTTCTCACATAGAGAAAGCCTTCCTGAGGATGAGATCAGCACAGGAGAAAATAGAGAAGAGATAGATGGGAGGAGACAGAGCCCAGGCCCCATCAGGCATGAAGCAAGTTTTACCCTCTATATTTTAAATGGGAAAGTTGGTTCTCTTTACCTTAAAACTTGTAACGTTTATTTTACAGGAATAAATATATGAATCCATTACTTAAAGTTCCCAAGGTAACCAAAAGAAGAACTAAAAATACAACAACATTGGCAGAAAAGGGAGATGGGCTGGTGAAGAAATGAGCCGAAGCCTCACCCACCGCAGCAGGAAGCTAGGAGATTGTGATGCACTCACAGTATTTAGCTTTATGGGGAAACCACAGGAGAAACAGGTAAACAAATTCCACTTGGTCACCTCTGAAAGGCAGGACTCAGGGCTCCAAAGAGAATACAGTGATTTTCATTATCAGCCTCTGTTCTATTGTTTTCAAAGCCATATGCATAAACCACTTTGCATAATGAAATATGCAACCATAAGTGAGGCAAAAATAATTTCAGTCCCTGAAGTTGACTTGGCTGCAAGAGCCCATTTACTTTTTGTTTTATAAAAATAAAATTTCCCACTCATAACCAAGAAAGTTAAACATTAAAAGCCATATAAGTTTATTTTGTTAAAGCAGTTGTATAATTAAAGTTTAAAATAGAACCTTCCCTCTCCTGTTTAAGGAAAGAATGGTTTAACCAGAGGTGAATTTGACCATCAGAGCCATTCCATGAGACCCTTTCTTGGA